CCCGGATGTCCACTGGATTAGGTGTTTGCGGGAAGGGAAAAGACTAATGCTAACCCTGCCATTATATCGAGGTTTAATTAAATCGTAGTTTTTTTTCATGTTTCATCTTTGCAATTGAGATACCTATTGTAGATATTTTGTATCACATCCATTAACTTAGGTCAGGGTTTTATACATACGTACAGGTATCATGTGCCCTTTGTTTATTGTTTGTGTTTCTTGTTTGTTAATTAATTGATTAATTAATTTTTTGTTTCTTTATTCATTTTGTGTTTGTTTGCTTGGTTTTATTAATCTCGTATCCTGGTTGTTAATTCTGGTTATGCTGCCAACAAATTTCTGACGTTATAAAGTGGTAAGTCATTATATACCATATATTTCAAGCGCGAAGAAATTAGGATAAAACGATACGATTACTATTATGTTTTATATCTACTCAAAAAGAAACTGATCAATTTTATCTTTCGATGATGTTCAATCTTATTACGCTGGAAAAGTTCGAAAAAATGATACTCTATCGAAACTGCATCTGATAATGCCTTATCTGAATCAAACACTCCCATCACACATTTCAAGACGCCCTAACCCGGAAAAAAATATCGAGTTCTGAATCCAGTTGTTACGAATTCCTAATTTATCTTTGCCAGGTTAAGTAACAAAAACATTGTCATAAAACATGGAGATATAACGGCAGTTTCCATGGGAACAAGCGCTCTACGTCACGGTTTTATGACACCTTATGTGATGACGAGGAGGGCCACTTAGCCCAAGCAAAGATAACGCGGGCACTTGTGATATCTGTTACACTAAATGCGCTAACGATGCAGTTCGTTTCAAGTACAAGATAATAAAATACGACATTTGTATGCTAGAAGTAACCAACTTCGCAATTCCTCGATACAACAGTTTGAAGCCATATTGAATATTTGAAAATCGAGTCTTATCATATCAGTTGAGATATACGGTGTTTTTTAATCATAAAAAAAAGAAATAAACAAGTAAGTTTTTCCACTGCCTTGTAAAAAATGAATACTTCAAGATGATTTTAACATAAAGAAAAGCTTCATTTAGAGAATTTACTGATACTAGTAAAACTACATATTGTATATGAGTTTCATTTTCGGTGACCTTCGACTAATGTTCTGGTTTTATCTGTCGACACCATCGTTAACGTGTACAACAGAACACTGTCGCTATAGAACTGGTCTGGCTTTTCGTGAGTTTTTAATTACTGATACGTGTACAAATGTTCACAGTCCTCCCTTGTGGGTGTTAATATTTATGGAACCCGTATGTGATATCTCTCTGATGGTTGATTGTATCGCTTTCTGTATAACAGCCATATTTTATTAATCAGTTCCTAGGCCGTGTACATCGAATAGTTTAGTATGTAAGTATCGCTTCATTTTTTTCTATTCAATTCATTTTTTTCAGAGTAATTCTTCATTTTCATTTTTTTTCAGGCTTAAGTAAAATTTTCATTTTCGCACTCCGTTTCGTATATTAGTTTCAACATTTACCATAAATCGTGTTGATGACTTTCGTTTCATGTTTTCTGTTCCAACAAAGATTTTATCTCCTAGTTCCGGATATATTTCTTGTATCTACGGTTTTCTGTATTAGTTGTGACGTTATCAGATTTGAAGCAATTATTCGTAATTTTACAACATCAGTTTATGCGTTCAAATATATCCCTGTGTTTAATTAATATATTAATATATCAATTATCTTCTGCGAGGCGAAGTAACAACAAATCCGGCACCGTATTTATCAGATAAGTGTTTTATATCTTGTCGGGTATTAAAACTACTTATCACGAAATATTGGAACGTTATTAGATAATGCATCATAAAATAAACGATGAAAAGATAAGAATAACCGATAAGAAGTCAAAAGAAACCGATAAACGTCAAAGAACAGAACAAATTGTTTGGCTCAGTACACACAACTGTACGTGTAACAGGCATGCTTCAGTTTAAATTTTCGTTCTAATTTTAGAGGAAAACAGACTTAGATAACTAGAACAAGCTTAACAAGATTTGGATTCCATTTATCTGAAAGGAAAGATAGATATCTGCTTGTGAAATAGAACAAACTGCATAAGATTTCGGACGCGTTTCTTTAAAGAACAGAATGTCAGATAAAACTGAGGTAAGGAGTTAGCGCCCAACCTGTGTTATCGGTACATGGAGGGATTTCTAGACTGCCTATGGATAAATTCCCTATATCTGTTTTGACACTGCACGTGCTTATGACGTATGAATTTAAAGGAATGGGTTCAAATATAATAGGAGACTGCAGAGAAATCGTAAATAGTTTAATTTGTAAAAAATATAAGGATGTCTTCAAGAACATCGCTATATTTTATATAACCTTTATAGTTACGTATATATTTACATATGCAAATATTTCGTGTATATCAAATTACATATATTGAGAAACTGAATTGTAAATTGTGTGATTTGAATGTGTTGATAATAATCTTAACATGTTAGTACTGATTTGATCAGATGGAAATTCATTTTATTTATTTATTTAACTCTTTGAATTGACAGAACAGTAAGGAAGAAAAAAGGTTTAATAATCAGGAATATTTAGGCGATATAATCGTCCAGAGTTCAACTTATGACCTCGTCCTTTTTTATTTGTTAATTTATCTATACATGTATAACCCCTTTATATCAGAAACTGAATCGGCCGTGAAAAAAATATTTAAAAGTCTGATTCTGATGATAAAAATGACACAAATTTACCCAGACGTACGTTAAGTATTTCTGCTAAATGACACACATAGTGTTATTGATATTTAACGGCATTTCTCATTACGTTAGTTAACCAGGTGGATCAGTTAGGGAACAAATGTACCGTGACCCTATTCATTGGCATGTACTTAAAAGCATGAGACATGAAAAGATTTTTTTATTTCTAAATGGCACATAATTATGGATCTGTATATTTATATGGTGTTATATATTGCAGTGACGCCGCGGATGAAAACAGCTTATGTCGAGGAAGTGATTATAAAACACAAATCGACCATATTGACAAGATGAGCCGTTCTGCATTTCAATGATTCAGATCTCCACAATAAGCCGGATTCTGTTTTGGAAATATAATTCGTAATATTTATTGAAAAAAAAACTGTGCTTGGAATTTGTTACAGTGAAGTTGATCATTGAGTTTCCGATCTTCCCAATTTATTCTTCCGAGGAACTTGGAAATCTGTAAAGAATTCGATGCTTGGCTGTCAGGTCTACGCGCTTATGGTTGTTTGAAGTCTAAAGTAGAACGTTCATGGATTCAAATTCTGAAGTTTTTACAGAATACAGATGGCTGCTATTAGCTAAGATATTAAACTACAGAAGAAGGAAAGCTTTCGGGATTTTGAATCTACTTCTAGGTAATATATTGGATATTTTCTACTGACGATAACGTAAATCGCAATATCGTTAAAATTCAAGTGTACTCACAGAGATCGTTAAACGTGTCTCAAGCTTGAACAGACTGGCATCTTTAGGAGATTAACTTTCTGTGTATGGCTTACAACAGTTTTTCACTGTGTTTGGGAGTTTACGGATTAATAATATATTAGCTAATACATCACAAATCTTTAACAAAACGATAAAAAAAACTGCTTATAGCTGTGCCGTCTACAAATTTAAACAACTTCCAGTGTATGGCTGTTCCGACAGATATCTAAACTCGACAATTGCTTGTAAACATTTACATCTGAAGGACATAAAACATCTTGATATTGAGAATGGATCTGCTTTTTTAAGAGAGATTTACGTTTTTGAGTTGAAACTGTACGTGGAGATTTAAATATCGTTTTATTTCACTTTTATATGTAGGTTGGGTTTTTTGTGGGTTTTTTTTTCTACCGATGATGAATATTGATATCCTTTAGGAATGCTACCACTTACATGGGTACATGAGCGTCATTGGGAGAATCTCTCGTTCTTCAATATCTTTTGATGTTACACAATATACTGTGCATCTTACGTACTGAGGTATATATATTTGATACAATCCTCCATTTTAATCAAACGCCGTATACTTGCTGTGAGATATTGAATATTTTTCATCGATTTGGCTTTGTATTACTATCCTGACAAAACAAACAACAATTTTTTTCTCGTTTCTCACAAACGTGACCCAAATTAAATAAAATTTAATAATTAGTTTTTTTTTCATTTTTCATTTAAAGTTCGGTCTGGTATCAGATCTATAATCTTTATAAACATTTTCGCTTTTCTTTCAATTAAATACATTTTTTGATTTACAGCCCGATGATTTCACATCAATCAGAATTGTTTATTGTGAAAATTCTCTTTATTTCAAAGTTTTAATTCGTTGAGATATTAATTCGACAAATGTCTGATCGTCAGGGAATGAAAATGTTATACCTACATTAATCTATAGACACAAATAATCTAATTTATATCAATCGATATTTAACACACTTGATCAACGTCAGATACGGCGAAAGCCGGGAAAATACCAGATAAGGGCTCCGCTCACAATTCCACTGATCATCTTTAGGTTAGTTAAAATCTAGATTCTAACAGTGGAAATATATTGTTTTTTAGCATAATTCCATACAGTACTAAGGGAGCCTAGAAGTGAGTTTAAAAGTATTCATAATCTGTCTTGGCATATTCCCGCTTGCCTTTTGAAGAGCTAATACAGTAACATTACAAGAAGTGGTTTAAAAACGCAGCTACGTCATATTTGACGAGATTGAAACTGTACTTTACTGGGTTACACTAGAAATTGTTGAATGTTTCTTGGTCTAATTCCTTCTAACGTTTGAAGAGGTTGGATGTAGCCTGTGTACAAATTGTTATGTAGAGACCTGCTAGCATTGTCGAAGTCAATTGTCGGCGGAGCGCTTAAGGCCGCTGGAGTGTGTGCGCCGTTCGGGGCCCGACAGTTGTAAACTGGAATGGACGGTGCAAGCTTGGGACAATAGGATAAGCCACATAGCGCCAATTACTGTCAACGACTATGCACTGTCAACGCTAATAACTGTCGAGCTAGGTTTTAGTTTAACTCGGCAAGTAGCCATGGAGGAAAATGGCAACCTTACAGCGATAGGAAATGGTAGTGTTCTTCCACCGGGTGTTACCGATGGACAGGTCGCTACCATACCCGTTACCCAGGATACTATGGTAACGTTACGTCAGAACCGGAAGGGATGTTATTTCACGCGCGTGCAAGTCGCAATTTTTACCGTGGCATTTGCTTTATCAATTATTTTGGTAGTGCTTCTTTTGACTTTTGTGAGGAAAGAACAAATAATTCATGTTTCGTCACCTGGAGCGTTGCAAACCTGCAATCAGGAAATTAATTACACAACTTCCAGCATATCCGTGGAGTCGGACAGTGTTCAAAATGAAACAAGTTCTGTTTCAGCTGAGAACTTAACTCGAGTTGAAAATGCGACTGATAATACGACGATTCCGGAAAAAGTAAATATAACTGAAGTTATGGTTCCGGTGAGAAAAGAAAGACCTTGGGACAAAATCCGATTACCACGTGATATACTTCCGGAAAGATATGACATATTTCTCAGGATTGATTTAGATAATAGAACTTTTAAAGGGAATGTCAATATAACGGTAAAAACGTCGGCTCCAAAGAAAGTGTTGCTGTTGCATATAAATATTTTGTGGATTGTGAAAGATTCTGTGAAAGTGAGATCCCTGGATGGCAGTAAAATGTATAAAATTAAGTTACAATTCCAGGTATGGAAAACGCAATTCTGGGTAATAATTCTCGAAGAAGAACTTAAATTAAGCGGATATTACGTCATTGAAATCGGAACCTTTAAAGGAACAATGTATACGGATTTAAGGGGACTTTATCTCAGTTCGTACGAATCATCAACCGGCACAAGGTAAGTACAATTTTAAAATATCATTTAAAAACGAAACGAAACTCAAATTCAGCTTTCTGTTTGAAGGATGTTGTGTTCAACAAACGATATGAAGAAAAAAATAAAAATCTCGAGCCAGGAAAATTGGTCTTGCAATTTCCGGGAGGACGTTGAGTTTAATCATGGTAACTGTTTTTATATAGTCATTGAAATTGCAAGAGACGATTTTGTCTCGTCCTTGGTAACGCCGACATCGAAATTAATTACAGTTACATACCATGATCAAATTAACGACGTCACTTCAATATTGTTATGCATACTATTATTAGATCTGAGATGTGTTATTCACGTATCAAGACAATGACAGCGGGGTTAGAAATATTTCGAAATATAATAACAAATTTAAATTAACGTTATTATACTGAATGTAACGATGACATTCCGAACGAAGGATAATTACAAAACTCCTATTTAATTTTGAACCAGAAAATTTGATTTCCTTAATCATTCAAATAAAGTCACTCAGTATACATTACCAGAAAGCAAGCAATGTTCTGCTCGCTCTCTCTCTCTCTTTGATTTGATAAGTATCAGTTTTACGAAATAATGATTTTATAACTGAGCTCATGATACTTTTGTATGGTCTTATTGTAGGCACTACTTATGTCAATTGATACAACCTAACACACATCCAATTTTAAGGTGATGTTAAGACAAGCGTATCTTCTCAATTCTCCCCAGTTTCTTTTTATACATTTGATGAGGAAATGATACCAGATATATCATTTTTTGTTCATTTATTGCTTACCCAAACGGACTATTACATTATCGGTTTTCCATGGTGCCACAATCACATGAAGACTAACGCGTTTTTATTATTTTAGCACTTGAAAACATTGTCTTTTACATAAAAAGAAATATTTTTACTAATCTAAAAATTATTTACATCGTAAAACCCTCTCACTTTAACAGTTTAATTCCTTTGATCTCCATACCTTGAAATGTTAAGTCTCGGTCATTGTTTGTCAGCTTAACCTTCAAGTACACCTGCAGTTTAAAGATGTCAACGTGAATATGTTTTATAAAACACCATCTCAATACATCCTAGGTTGTAGACAATTGACCTATATACTCTTTTCCCAAAAAATAAAAATCACAATACATTAAAAATCCTAAACTTAACATTTCGATGTTTTTTTACGAACATTAACAGTGTATCTGTATATCTTGAATAAAAACTCATCATCGATCTGCATTTACGCTTTTAATACAAATTTTCACGACAAGTTTTCCGTTCTATAATCTTTACATCTTTAATGAATTTCACAATGTAAATTTAAAGATGTATTTTGAAACTTTTCCAGGATTTACTTCACATCCTTGTACATTAATGTGCGTTTTACATCTCATTGCATCTTAATAGATTTACAACAGCAATATAAAATTTTAATGTAAATTTTCACCTCAAATATTCTCTTAAATAATCCCAAGCATCACAACTTCACAAAATTAATTTGAAATTTGGTATTTCTTCAAGAATATATATATCTCATCGATAGAAGAGAAAGTACCGTACAAATATTGAATTGATGTTTCATATGTTTACAAGATGGCTCCTCACTGGAGATATTTACATTTCAAGTCTGGCGTTACGTAATTGATAACACTTAATTTAATGTTGTACAAAGATAAATAATTGTAGATAACGGGCGAACACACCAATTAACTGTCAGAAGTATACATGTGAGAATAAAACCATTAACAACATGTGGGTATTTATCATCAACGAATCACCACCTAATAGACTTATACGTGTTATTTTAGTGTATAAATCTACAGCCCTATTGCTTTTCCTTACAGCAATGTGACCGTAGGTACACATGGACTAGTAAATTATTATAACAGGTGGCCTTTATAGACAGGGTTTTTGGTATATACATGTGACCTTCATAGGCAGGTATTTGTGATATACAGGTGACCTATATAGACAGGTATTTGTTATTAACATGTGACCTTCATAGGCAGGTATTTGTTATATACAGATAACATTTAAAGACAGGTACTAGACATACTCTGGTGTCCTTTATATACAGCTAATTGGCAAACAGTGGTGACCTTTATAGACAGGTATTTGCTACATACAGGTTACCTTTTTAAACAGGTACTTGTTGTAAGATAACCTTTATAAACAGGTACTTGTTGTATAAGATGACATTTATAAACAGGTACTTGTTACATACATGTAGCTTTGCTAGATACGTATTTATGATATAAAAGGTAACATTCAACAACAGTTATAATACATATTGGCCTTTATGAGCAGGTATTTGTTATGTACAGTTGACCTCTATGACATAGTAGAACTGTTTTTGGAACACACTTATTGCCTTTATAAACAGGTATTTTTATATACAAGTGATCGTTACAGAAGGTGTTTATTATAACCATACGTTTTCTTATACATGTATATACAAGGTTCCTTTATAACTGATGATTGGTTAACACATGTGACCTCTTAAACTTTTATACAGGTTACTTTTATAAACCAGTTTGTTACATTGTGATTCTCCTTATAATCACACACATATATATATATTAATCATCATCTTTCTCCGCTATAAAGGGCCTTCGGCGTCCATCTGCCGATGGGATTATTGAGACACCTAATTTTACACAGATCCAGATTTAGATTTATAACGGTGTATTTGTTTTAAGTTCTATGTATGTGATGTTATTTATGTAATATTTGTGTCTTGATAAAGGGCAGGTTGCCTCGAAAATTTGACAATTCACTTGTCCGTACTGTTGCTATTACTTCATTGATCATACATCTATCCCAGTAATACGCATCCAACGAACATTTGTTTGTTAGGATCCAGTACCAATATTGAACAATACCGTCGATATTACTTACTAGATTCTATACATATGTACATATACATGGTCCTAATAGACAGATCATTGATATACGTAGGTGACCGTTATAGACAAGTGATTTTTATATAGCGATTGTCTTTATAACCGTGTTTGTAACATAGATATGTCTTTTTACATACATATTTTTTATGTAGAGGCGACCTTTTATAGACAGGTTTTTTATATAAACAGGTGGTCTTTATAGACAGGTACTGTTATATGAATGAACCTTTCGACTTGGAACCTGTTTATAGAATACAAACCTGATTTATAGATGAAAATGTTTGTTTCACAATTTATTTTATACCCAGATAATTTAGTTGAAACACTCAATACGCCCAGAGGATATTTGTTCGTAATTCGATACAATTGAATTATCTGTTGGTCGTAAATCGGTTCCGTACCTGCAGTAGATGTCCTGTGAGTACTGATCTACCTAAACAAGAGATAATTCCCGCCAGTATCTTAACGGGGTGTTAAAGCGTGCATTTCAAATGATGAAATATTTTACATTCAAAGTTAAGCTAACAAGCCATAACCTTTCTAATTTTACATCGATCATGGTTTCTTGATTTACCTTGAGAACCACGACGAAATAAAAACACAAAATTGAAAACGAAACAAGTCAAAGGCTGAAAACATAAAAACAAATAAAACAAAACAAAAAAAATTGCCACAACTGTATCAAAACTGTCAGACACTTCATTCATTTTGTTTTTGTTAATACAAACAACAGAACACAGAATTAGATGACACAGTAGGAGTAAGTAACAAACAAGAAAATGATCAAATTTAACTTAAGTGATGGTTAAGCTGACAAGGCTTTACCGAATAGCGTTTATGTAACAGAGAGACGTGCTTATCTCCCCTTCATTTCATCGCTCTCCTTTCATGTTTTCGATTGTGCCTGTATACGTAATACATATAGATAGGTGAAGTATGTAGTCTGTATATATAAGTAATCATAATGTGCAGAAGGCAATTAACTTTTCAATCTGATATCACATGGATTTCAAAGAGAGAATTCTGTATCTTTTTTCTTGTAAACTGGCATGATTAGATTTTTTTGACAGTAAAACGATTTGAAACAGGGAAGTTTGATCTTTCATTTTTAAATACCAAATTTCTGTTATAAAAAACAAATGTTGTTTGTTTTCCGGTTACAAGGTCACAGATATTATAAAATATTTTGTGATTGTATTGTATAGTAATTTAATTTCGCGTGTCTGATATTTTCACACGTATTAAATTTACATGTGTTGATATCCCAAATGTAGGTGATTTCATTGTCTAAGGTGAACATCTTTTTAATCATGTTTTGGGTTATTGATTACAGTGGTGATGCAATGCCATTATTGACATGTGATTATGACGTCATTCATACTGTTACGTCATCAGTATGACAACTGGGAACGTTATATGTGTATTGCCAGTTGTCTCTCTTGTTTACGAACTACGGGTATGAGATTTTCCTTAAACCGTTTTAATACTGCATAGTTGGTAATATTCGCTGGTTTTTAATTTTGATATGTTCGCGGTCATTAAAAATACCGCGAAATGCTGTACACAGAAACGATTTTTACATCGAATAAAAAAAATAATGGTTGATATATTTCGCGGATGTCCCGGGCTGAATTAGTTCACGTGTACTAAATTCCGCACATATCTATATGTTGTAACCAACTCACGTATAACAACTTATATTTACATAGATTTTGATTCACTATAAAAACCTTTTCTGTGTATTTCACGTCACAATATCAATGACGTCATAATAATATGCCGAAAATGTGAAGTGAACTGCATTATCTGTTTTCGCTAAGTTTGATTCACAAAAAAAAAAGATTAAAAGAGAGGTTCATGTGTATTTTCAAGTGAAGGTATGAGGAGGAATAGTTTAAGTCACTGAAATATTGCATCATTACATATAAACTATATATCAGAGAGAGCGTGAGGGTTTATTGTGGCTGCTTTCGTTTTCCTAAGTAGAGAGAACACAAGTCATTCCCAAATTTTACATGGGAATCATGCACCGGTCGTCTCACATCATAGATAGTTTCAAACAGCAGGTACAATCACGCCAAAATTACCGAAATCACCTATGT